TTTTCTTTTCTTTTCTTTCTTTTCTTTTTTTTCTTTTTTTTTTTTTTTTCCAGTGGGCGCTGCTGGAATGTTCACAGCCGCGTGGCTCCTTCTCCCATTTTGAATGGGGAAAGCAGAGCTGGTGCCCAGCGGTGTGAGCCGGGGGAGGCCGGGGGCAGGGGATGCTGCTGTCCTGTGCTCCTTCAAAGTCTACACCGTTTGGTTTTTCCAGCTGTCAGAAACTTTCCTCCTCTAGGATTTATGGCGTCTTTCTGGATTTGTTGTAGGAGGGAATGGTGTGAAGGGCTTGGGGGGAGCGAGCGTGGAGCTCAACAGATCAAGATAGTTGCAAATAATTCACTTTCCCTTCCTCAGTCGGAGAAGCCTTTTGCAAAGGCGGAAGTTGGTGGGACTGGGAGAAGGCGATTTTGGAAGCCAAAGATGTTGCCTCTCCATCTATGAGGGGGCTGATCCCAGAGCAAGTTCAGATGCAAACTCGTCCCTGAAAATCTTCCTCCCTGCCTTCCGTCCGGCTCCTTCCCACCCAGTCAGATTAGCTCGGCCCCACTAAATGCTTATCTGCCGATCATTTGTCTATAAACGCATTAATTATATCTCGCTGCTTACATGCGGCTTTGTAATGATATTTTATTGATTTAAATTGTCCCCGAGGGTGTGCAGTGAATTGGGATAGCTGTATTTAAAGATACAAGAGCATTTCTAGGCACAGTGCTTTGTTTTCTCAGGCAGTTTAAAAACTCCATTATTGGGGAAAAGATGGGCTCCAGATTTTGTTTATTTAATGTAATGGATGGTAAAAATCAACTGGATTCCAGTGCACTAGGTATGCAAGGGGACCTGCAGCATCTCCTGGGCAATCAGTTGAATCTAGAACACCGATTCCACAAACATCAGCCAACTTTGTGTTTTATGGCTCATTGGAAAGCAAAAGAAACAATCTGGTTGTGTTACTTTTTACTCAAAAGTAAATTGAGAGTAACTCACTCTGGAGAGAGGACAGGAAACGTTTCGACGGGAGGAAAAGGCTCTAATGCAAAACCACTTTTCAGCAGCAATCAGAGCCTGCCAGGGACTTGGGAGATGGTGTGTAGGATGTCAAAACATAGTTTCATTGTAAGCTGTGCCCTTTAGCCTGACAAAAATATTACTGTGCATACGTAGCAGGAGATCACAGAGTCAGAATCTGACGATGATACTCCTGTGAAACAAATATTTCAGGGAAGAGTAGAGGAGTTACAGCCAGAAAAGAAAGTTGCTGCTGCCACACCAAAGCAAAGCAGAGGCTGTGGGGGAAGCGCCGCTCTCCTCAGGCGCACGGATTCACACCTTACAGGAGCCTTGGGAGGGTTGGCTCAAGTCGAACAAGAGAATTACACTTGCTTACCTGGAAATGTTAGGGATGTGCCTTGTCAGGAAGGAATGGAGTGAGGGCTGTCTCAGAGTTTGGGGACAGCAGCTTGAACTCATAATTACTTTTGTTGAAGTTCAAGAATAATGCAAACAAGAACACAGCCTGAGTGCAACATACGTTCCTCTCAAAGCTTCTGTGTGCAAAAGAGGAAGGAAAACAAAATGGCCAAGGCCCCCCTTGGGCTGAATGACACGAGTGCTGGTATTGGGAGGTCACTGTCTGACACCAAATGATTCTGCAAAAGTCGCCTAGATGGGATGGCTTCTTCCCATAGTACCTGCTTTAATGTAAAGGCACTGACGATTATTTTCCTTTCAGTTTCAGAGCCCACCATGAAGAGACTCCTCGTTCTTTGCGACTGCCTCTGGGCCTGGAGCCTGCTGCTGAATGCACTGACTGAAAGAAGGTGAGGAGATGTTTTTGAATGCATCGACATGTTTTGGGAACCTTGAATTTAATGCGGCAATGTAATATTGCATAGGCTGCACTACTGCTCAGTGTATTGGGGAAAGTTAATCCCTGTTCAAATCCCAGATAAATCTAACTGAGAGAAGATTGAAAGAAAACTGCAATTTGTTTGCATAACAACTATTTTTTTTTAGCACTATTGTGAATAAAACAAAGCAAAGCCTATCTAAAACAAGCTAAAGGCAAAGTGAGTTTTAAACACCTATGCAGTCTTTTATATTCTTACAGAATGACTGCTCGAGAGTAAAACTTTCTTAGAGAAAAAAAAAACCAAAAACTGTAATTCATGTGCTTTGTTTTGATTTCTATTTTTAATTTGAGTGCTTGTTCATAACTTTTTCTCCTGCGGAATGCTCCCAGCCCCATAGCTCCTTCTCCCATGTTATCCCCAGGGGAAAAGGGAATAGAAGTCATTTTTTGTTGGGTCAGGATTGTATTCTAAGCCAGTACCTGTACCTGTGACTTCAAAGCAGACCTCCTTAGTGAAGAGGGACTGCTTGGGTAAGGAATAGGCAAGCTCAAACCTGACAGCTGAACTATTTGAAAGACAGTGTTGCACCGAATCTCTATGGAATGTATGTAAAAGTTACAATCTAAAAACAGCATTCGGAACAATTAGTAGTGGTACATTATCCAACAGCAAGTCTGTTAACTAAAAACTGTAAGGTAGTTTGGAGTATATACTGAAGTCTGTGACATTCATAAATGAGTAAAAGGAGTTATGAAGACTGGCAGATATATTTCTGTATTTTGAAAATATCTGTGTCTTGTCAGTAATGCTGCCTCATGACCCAGCAGCAGCTTCAGTTTTGCTGTATTGAAAGTGATTCCTGTAAGATTCATTTGCGCCTGGATGTCCACAGTGTCTTCTCACATATGAGCAGCTCTAGATGAACTTACCTTCTGGTACCTTGATGAATTTCAGTAGACCGAAGTGTGCAAAAGGGCAAAGGTTCATCTTTGCACAACTGTTTACTCTTAAAAAAAAGAAGAAATAAAAGCAGGTGATTCATTTAACATATAGAATAAGTGCGATGTTCTAGAAGAAACGCCTTTGTTTTGATAATATATTAGGAAACGTGAGGTTTTCAAGTGTTCATGAAGTCCTACACCTGGTCTGCCTAGGTAATTTTGTGAAAATGTGTTGAGTTATATCAGTATGTGTACATCTACGTGTGGATGTTTATTTGTGTTCTATCTATAACGCATGCAAGTGCATTCGTAATGCGAGAATTAAAATGCATTGGACTTGTGTTTAAAAATTATATGGTGTGTCAGTATTATAATGACCTGTAGATGGAGTTAGTGCACAGTGTTTTATTATACTGTGGCTTAATATGAAACCACAGTCACATACAGTCACTTTTCCCACAAATGTACATATTCTACATAAATTGCATCTGTTTTTAGAGCCATTTTGTCATAGTAACTTCCCTTTTCTTCTGGAGTGCTGTTAATTCTGTAAGAAAAAAAACAATTGTCAGACAAAATGTTTGTGATGCAGAAGCACACAGTCCTTCCATATCATTCTTCATGAAAAACAAAACACAAAATCCAGAACAGCACTGGGGCTGCTTTAACATGGGAGTTTTGACTGAAATATCACAGTCCCTGTGGAGCTACGGTGTGCTTGATACATACACAAACGTTCAGATTCTTCCTTTTGTGACGATGTGTCCATTAAATCCAGCCCTAATGGTGTTCTTTACCTCTGGAAAAATGGTGGAAAGAACAGGTGAGGGTACTGACAGATGCTACAGCCAGGGTGGAAGCGCTGTGTTGTATTGTATCTGCTCAGACTGTGCTGCCTCTATAGTCCATCTTTCTGACAATGCTTCTGCAAACATACTCAGTTATTTACCCCTAGAATTTCTAAAATCTTTCTATATCCTTTTGCCACCTCAATTCTGATGACCTTCTGCTATCCTTGAGAGATGTATGTGCAGCAGCTTGTTTAATGACAGTGAGTGTTAATAGAGAATGTAATCCAGTGAACATTCCTGTATTGCAGTTCTACATAAGACATACAAGAAAAAATGCTTTAAAAGATACTGCTCAAAGGAGACAGCAGGAGAACTTGTTATTTAGTGACATATAGGAAAAATAAGAGAAAAGCATATTAGCATCTTAAAATGCAACTGTGGGTATGAAAAATAAATACAAATCAACCTAATCTGTATTAAGTGAAATTGTATGATGTGACTAGAAGAAATGCATAGTATTGCTAGCATTTTTAAAAGGCTGTTTGAGATTTTTTCTTCTTCATTAGGAACAGTGCTTTATATGCATTGAAGTACCTTGAAAACTGTTCTCTACAAGTCACATACTAGTGAAGTAAAACAATGCTGTTAATGTCAGTTCTAAAACTTGTTCAAATATGCAGTGATACTTATTCAAATCTGAACTGCGAAATAGCTTGGAAGCATTTGCAGAGCATCCATGCTCAGACAACCTCTCCTCCTCCTTTCTCTGTTTGATACAAGTGGAATATCTATGTGAGATATACAAGGATGTTTGACTTATAGAAGGATGTGTTGCTTACAGATAATAATTTTGCAGCTACTTTAAGAGGATCAGATTGTTTGTATATCGGTAATATTCCTTGCAAGACGGCCTTTGTTGGTTAGAGCAGAAGTGACTGTCAGAGCACTGAGAGCCATGTACCACCAGGATTGTACAAACAGCAAACTGCTCAAAGAGTCACAGTCGTGGCTAGAGCTGAGCCTTACAGAAGTTTCTGGTACTGCACTGTTGATCTAGTTCAGTATCAAGTGTGAGAAAGTGATGTTCTGCAAAGCAGCGTTTTGTATTTCAGTTATGATGACTTCAAATGTCTACAATGGAAGTCTTCCCAGCAGTGAATGAAAAAATGGTACTGGGCTTGTCTTTAAGACAACTGTAATCTATGATTAAGGGAATTATCTATGATTGGAAAGATTTAAGAAAAAAAGTCGATTCTGATGCCTTTTACAGCAGACAGAAACCACTAAGCCCAAGGACTTGGTTCTGATTTGTAACGATGGAAGTAAGATTTTGGTAGCTGAAATCAAAGAGTTTAATTCAAGCAAAATTTCAGGACCTTTGGCTGAGTTAGAGTAATACATTCGGGATGTGTAAGCAAAGCTTTAGAGACAGGACAGATCTGCATCGCAAGAAGTGGTTCCATTTGTAAGGAAAAATGGGAGACATTCCTCTGAATGTAGCCACTGGAAGAAAACAGGAAATAAAGCACGATTATTTACAGATTTATGATACTATACCCTCACATGATTTACCTATTTACTCTTTGTAGGATCTTTGATTTTGTTTTTTTAAACATTTATTTTCAGTTCTTAAATATCAGTGCTCTCAATCACTTTGTCTTTCTTAGCATGCAATTCCTACATTACCTATTGTAACACGAATGAGCCCTTTACTGAAAGAACATGTTGGAGTATTATAAAGATTACTGAGTAATGAGATAAGCATTGAGGAATTGAAGTTATACTTGCTCACTTCACCCTTCATGGAAAGGCACTAGTTTTCTCAGATTTCACTAAAAATGTACAATTTAAACATAAAATGTTTAAGTGAAAGAACCCTATATTGTAATTTTCTTGAGGAGATTTTACAACCATAAATCAGTATAATCAGGATTAGACACATTTTGGAATTATTGCTTTGTAAGGTTCCTAGCTGATAGCTGTATTTCAGTTTTAACTGTTGTGTATTTCAGCTATGGACAAACCTCATCGCAAGATGAACTTAAAGACAACACCACAGTGTTTACCAGGATATTGGATCGCCTGCTGGACGGTTATGATAATCGCCTGAGACCAGGACTGGGAGGTGTGTTAAAATTTTCAAAGTGTTAGAGAAAAAAAACAGTGAAAACAATATTATTTTTCCAAGATAAACTTGTATATATATATATATATATATATATATATATATATATATGTTAATATGTAATATCTGTCTTTTCAAAAATGCTGTGCTGTCTCCCACATACTCACACATTTTTGCTTGAAGAAAGAAAATGGTTGACAATTCTAGACCTCTGAATACCTATTAAAATTTTGAATGTAGGAAGAATAAAAGAAGTGACCTGACAAATGGCAAAAGTTTATGAATCAGACCTAAACAGCACATGCAAACATGCAAAAATCCCACTGACTAAGAGTAAGAGGATCTGGTTTTAAAAAAGAAAACATCAATCAACCTTAGTCATATAATGTCTCAGAGAAGTTTATAACATTTTTTTCTCCATTGGGTATGTCAGGATTTGTTTCTGTAACATTTTGTCTTTGCAAGTTGGTAAAAATGTCTTTCTTCTGCTCTCAGGGCTGAATCCATAAAAAGTTATAAAACCACATAGCAATTACATCTTTATAAAAGTATTTTTGCAAAGCCTACTCCTTATCAGCATCCCTACACTGACTCTCTGATTTGTTTGTCAGAGATATGATCCGAAAACTGGGTCTTAACAGGTTGATAAAGGTAGAGATTCTAATTGTGCCACTTTTCCCCTCCAGCAAAACAAAAACAAAGCAACACACCCACTCTACAAAGTTTACTTAACCAATTTCATATACCAGTTCTCAGCAGAACCACACTGTAAGAAAAACAGGGCACATTGTATTAAGAATTCTTATGTCATCTGCTGCGGATGAAAGGAAAGATAATTTAAACTAATCTTATTCTGTGACTCAAGGCTACCATCTTGCAATAGCTCTTGCATTGTGAGCCAGCTCCTTCCATGGTTTGACTTCACTGACTTAAAAGAATGAATAGAGATAAAATTCTGTTTATAAAGGGTCCATTAAGAAAAAACATTTAAAAATGGGTTGGTTTGTAAATTTGTGTGTGCAGTTTCAGATAACATAAAACAAAATAAGAATCACTTCTCTACCAGCACTTTTGCTTATTTGCTTGTAAACCTTTGGATTAGTAGAGAAACAAATGCTCTTTAATCTTTGATTAATGCAACTGTAGAATTCAGTAAGCTACTATATCACAGTAAATAAACACAGCACAGAAGGCAATAAATAAACGAAACTCTGCAAACTGTGTAAAGTCTGGTACATGTCTGCAAGAAAAATCTGAGAACATGATGATTTCTTGTGAGTTTTGTAGCTAGTAGGATTTATTTTACAGTTACTAGAAGAGTAAACAAAAGGAGACCCACAGAAAGGAATTTCTCTGCTCTGGATTGCAATTCACAGATTGGTCTCAAGGTCAGTGTAGACCCAGGCCAAAGACCTGTAAGATTACAATTTGCCTTTTATTCAATACAGTGTACATTTGTGATGCCAGTACCTCAGAATAAATTTAATTTCGCTCTTCTATTCCTCAGTGTAGAACACTAGAACTAAGTGTATCAAGACCTTTTGAGAATCCCACATGAGATGAAATTCTGTGCAGTAGATTCATGTTTAAAATGCTTGATTCAAAAGACATAATTTTATTCCACAAACTAGAGACATACATATAGGCCAGTAGTTTCAATTAAATGCCAATTTATAATAAAGGCTTTACGACGGAATTCTGAAGTTCAGCTTTTCAAAACAATGAGCTAAGAAACTTGAGATGATGTAATTTTGACGTATTTCATTTGGATAATTTGGGGGAACATATTCTGACGTGTTCCAGACGTACAAATACCCAGCAAGAAGTGCAAATTTATGTATCAGTACAGCATGGTTTTTGGAGGCGGATGTTCAACAGCCTTCCATTACAGCTTCATCCACTGCTGGAAATTCAAAATGTTTATACTTTCTTTTTTATAAGAAAGAGTAAATGAAGTAAAACAATGGATGGTATGGTTACTTTCTCCTATAGAAAGGGCCAGATTGCAGAAAGCTCTCTGCTTATCCCTCTAAGACCTGTCCTTATGTACTACATGTATACATATTCCAATGGAAAACTGAATTATGTACAGAAACAAAAAAGAGAATGAATTTCTGACGAATTTTGAAGCTCTCTTTCAGCATGTGTGGAGTCAGTGCTTGATTAATTTTAAAGCCTCCCTTTTTTAACATTTACTTTTGAGGTATCACCTCAAAAAGAAAATGAAAAAATGCATATGCTCTTCAGAGAATAAGGCATTTAATACTATTATTTGTCAGATTACTTAGTAAGACCATACCTGAAATAAAGTGAATAGCTCTGAGCATTCTGCCAGTAAACAAAGAACAAATTACTTATCCTTAGAAAGAATAAAAAAATATGGATTAGGGGACCCATTGGGAAAAACTGCTGAATAACTGAATATGTGTATTATTTAAAAAAATGGAATTGTGGCTAAAATTAATCTCTTTTTTCTTTAAAGAAAAACACAGCATTTCATTATGCATTGACAAATTTCCATCTGTTACCAATAATTATTGATATAAATTGTGTTATTTAGATGTTCACTGCCTCCATATGTGGGCACAGTCATTTAGTCAGACATCACTAGGAAACAGCATCCTTAGCATCCATCCATAAACATGGACAGATAACTATATTTACAGTTATTTCTGCTTGGAAAATAGAACTTTCAAAATGAATCTAAAAATGTTCTGAATCACACTAGAGGACCCCTATTAACTCTACAAGAGGATACTCATTTACAAAAAGGAAGATGGAGGGATTGTACAGAGTAATGTATTGAATCTGAAAAGGAGGGAATCATGGTAGATATTAAGAGAAAAAATAAACAGTGAAGTCACTTAGGTAAAAGCTTAATTTTCTGTGTGAACTGAATGGATCCTAGTACTAGGAGTGAAAAGGATGTTGCTCCCTTTTCCAATGCACACTGCTGAACAAAAGAAAGAATCAGACCGTAATTTGAAGGAGTTCTATAAGGGGGAAAACTGAAGTCAATGTTTGGTGACCTCCCACAGTAAAATTCTGTATCTGTGGTGGGAGTTTAAAAGAATGGAAAAGCAATAAGAAATGACACAAAAATAAGTTTCGTGAATAAATGAATATTACATTGACTTCTGGGATGTTTTGTGTGGAGAATAGATACGAGTCCTAGCTTACTACCATGGCAGGCTTGGAGGGCCACAGGGCACAGAGAGTTTCCACAGGGCAAGTTGTTTGCACCTGGTGCTTGAGATTCAATAACGTGATATCAGGTGTAGCTACAGAATTTTTTTAAACTATCATCTTACTGGTGTACACATCTCCTCTATGAAACTAAATGATATCAGGTGGTCTGCGACCTCTTAATTTAGAATGACTGCAAATGCTATTTATCCCTTTGAGAGGGATTTTGTAGTGCGAAGATTGATTAATATAGAACTAAGAAGAGGTTTGATCAAGCAGGTCAGATAACATCTCCCTAAATTGAATTTGCTTTTATTGTTGGGTTGAGTGGCCATTAGAGCATTTCCCAAATAGATCACAAATACTACTTTAGTATTGAACAGAATTATAGTTTTATAATGTTATCAGTAAGGGATATTTGTTATCTGCCTTTTGTGATGGATATCAACACTGAGTGTGACTGTCCCTAAGTGGAATGTTGGTCATCTCAGGCAATTCATTACTTCCACAAAGTGCTTATATTTAAAATGATGGAGAATAAACTTGACAGCATTATGTTAAATAGGTTTTAAAATTCAGCTTTTCTAGAACATTGTCTATAAATATATGATAAACTGACCTTTTGGTGATTGTGGTCCCAGTGGAAATTATTTAATTTGAACTCACATCTAAACTAACATAATTTCGAGAAAATATGGTTCTAGTCTGTATGTGCAATAAAAATTTAGTTAAAGTGGTTTATTTCTATTCTAAATGAAAAGAGAGACCTATACTGAAGCTTACTCATAATCCCATCATGAAGAAGCATCAGATACTATACTTCACCCTCTAAGAATTGAGAGGGTTTGTTTTGTTTCCAACTCTGTAGGTAACACACCGATGTGAGGACAATTGTAAAAAGACAGAGAAGACCTTAGGAAAATAGCTTTGATATAACAGTAGGGAGGTTCTTTACAGAGAGAGTGGTGAGGTGCTGGAACAGCTTCCCAGAGAGGCTGTGGATGCCCCATCCGTAGAGGTGTTCAAGGCCAGGTTGTATGGGGCCCTGGGCAGTCTGGTCTAGCATTAAATGGGGAGGTTGGTGGCCCTGCATGTGGCAGGGGGGTTGGAGATTCATGATCATTGAGTTCTCTTCCAACCCTGGCCCTTCTGTGATTCTGTGACACTGTGGAGGCAGCTTTGAGCTCTTAATTGCCATGGGGATAGTTAGCATGAGATGGCGTAGCTCCCTTCATAGCAGCGTGCACTATGGCTGAGCAACCTCAGGACAGCTCATTGTTCTCCATTTTCGTATCTACTTTTGCAAAAGCAACCAGAGCAATTAGTCCATGTGCAGTTTTTTCTTCAGTAGGAGCAGTTTATGCCATACAGGCATCTAATTCCCTTTCATTCAAAACCACAGGAAGAATCTTCTCCATTTTAATAATTATAGCACACACTTAAACAAGACATGCAGGGGGAGCAGGTGCAGAATCAAAAATAAGGAAATTAATTTAAAATACGAAAATGAGTAATTCTGATAAGCCTCGTGTTCATATACCAGCAGGTGAGAAAGGGAAATAGTTAATGTATAGTTTTCTATGATAAATGGGCTTATTTCATGCTGTTAAAATCAATCTATATTCCTTATTTTGTTCTCAATTTGTAATCCAGTCACAATTCTAGAAATAATAAGCTCCCTGGGAATTTAAATCAAAACACTTATTGTTTTTATGTGTTAATTTAAAGAGTTTATCCTAGCATCATTACCAAAACACAATGGCTTGTAAGCAATGGCAGTAGTTTACACTGACTGATGCTTTTGTAGGCATATCTGGATCAAAATAATTTCCCCCTGATATAAACTAGTTCATTGCTTGATGTTGCGTTCTGGTGCCTACATGTTAAACACAGTAGTCATTTTGCTGATCAATAACCAGTTGGACCTTACGGTGTACATCATTAAAAAGAATGTAATGCTAGTTGGTCACTAATAATTTACTTTTTATTTTATTATTATTATTTTTTAATGGAATTACATGATCTACAGATATCTTACCTACTCCTGTTCAGGAAAAAGATGTTCTAGTCCAGAGACATGGCCAATGTCTTCACAACTGATAGATTTATTCTCAGCAGTAAGATCTGCTCCTGGCCTGAGCTTGTTTTGTTCAATGGCTTAGAATTTTCTCTAGTTCTTAGAGACATTGCAAAGGTTTTGAATATAGATCAGGATTTGAAGTTCTTTTAAAAAATCTCAGTGCTTTCTGAGCATTTGAAGCACAGTTTAAGCCTTCCCATGGTATTCAAGCTCTAAGCTGAACATGGTTAACCTTGATTCTAAATATATATCCTAACTGTATGCATACAGTAAATGCATCTTCTGTGCAGGAGTGACTCACAACATTTGAAGCTCTAAACACAGCACAGTTGAATCATCTATTTAGTAAAACAGTAAACAAAAATTTCAGAACTTCCACATAGATTTGGAGGGGCTAATTTATGTGTTCATACACATTTCCACATTTTTCTCACTTCTCTTGAAAATGTGGTACATATCAAAGAAAAAACTAATCATCTGATCATGTGCACAGTGTTTTTTTTGGATTTGAGGAGGACAGTGATCAGATGGTCTGTAAAAGTCTAACTGGTATGATGATAACAGTCTTCTGTGATTTCAGAATCAAATTTTTCTATTATTAATTGAATTTTGTGTCACTTAAATTATCTTTGCTGCAATACAGAAGTGAAAAGCACTACTAAGTTTTCTATTAATTTTCTCAAAAACTTTCCATTTTAATTTGGAAGCCTTTAGTTTCCATTTTGTTTCCCCAAAATCATTTCCTTGAACTTTAACCTCTACACTATGACCATATGTCTCCTAAATCTCTGAGTTTATATTATTAAGAATGAATCCCCTGGGCTGAAGAGCTTCCAGCATCTTCTATTTCCTAATGACAGTTGTGGGAACACCTCAGTAGAAAGGAGATGGAGAAATGGCAATTCAGAATGAAGGATCTTTTAAAGGGTTATTTGAGATTCACTTTTCAATATACAGAAAGCTAATAGGTCTTATGATGATACTAGATTCTCAGTCTCAAGAAGAGGTGATAAAACATCTGTAACTTAAAAAGTATGCTCATGCGTGTCTTACTGGACCTTGTGAAAACTGTGTCTTCTTTTTCTGCTGGCTGTTTCATACCAGATCACAGCTTCAGCTCTCGAACTTTGTAAAAGTGATGAATTGAAGGAGAGAGCACTCTTTTTCCAAGCCAAGTACTTTCTGGATAACCATATGCTTCTTCCCGTAATAGAAGATTAAATTCTCACTGTGGATTTCTTTAAGTCAAGAGTCAATTAGATGTCAAAAGAATACTTAAATTTCTCTGAGTCAGCTGAAAAGCTTGTAAACAGTGATAAGGTCACGCCTTCATTTCAATGGACAGCCAAGGAGGAAATTGCACCTATCCAATGGTTTCGTCAGATTCAAAGAACCAAAAGAACCACCATTAAACAACTCAACTACATCACAGTACTTTATTTTCTGTAATTACAAATAATAAGCTAGAAATTTCATCCTTCAGTTTTTCCAACGAGTGCTACAGATTTCCTACTACCTGATTTTTGAACTGATTGTCTCACAGAATACAAGGGTCATTCAAAGCATTACAGAAATGATGGTAGAATGAGAAGCAATTTTACATTCAGATTACTGCTATCTTACAACGAGAGGTATTTTTTTGTATAAAGTTTTTTATTAAACCAATTAAACATATATATTGACAAGATGTAGAGCTTTTGGAATGCAACTGAAAACTCTGTGTGCACTGTAGAACATTGACTCTCATTAGAATTTTTGGGTTATATACGAAAATGCATATTGCTGGTTAACCATGATTCCATATTTCACTTCTCTTTGTGTTAGAACTTTAGTTAATCTTATTTGTTCCCAGATGCAAAAAAAACCTCCCAAAACGAACAAAAACAATGAAAAAACCACCACCACCAACAAAAAAGCACATCTGAAGTGTTTTTCAAATCAGAGGATTCTATTAATTATTTTCATTTAATTTTTTTACAATATTGAAATAATAATATATAGATGTTATAGATCTATATATGTTTCTTAGTCTTATGACAGTTTTTGCTTCACTGCATGACCTTTACTTTCTGTACATGTACTTTTCTTTTAGCCTCTTTAAAATTATTGTTAGTGTCACAAATTTCACACATTATTTATTTTATTTGAAAGTTATTTGAGAAATGCATATCTCCTTCCACATTTGAAATTCCTAAAAAAAAAACAAAAAACCAAACCAAACCAAAACCAACCAAACAAAAAACCAACCCACACCAGTTTGTATAGTGCTTATAGTAAATAGTAAATACTCTGAGATCACTGTAAGTTCTGAGAGCTGATGGGGTTAGCTCCACTCAACACTGCTAGGATGTATGCCTTCAGGTGGTGTTACTCCCTGCAACTATATTTAACTCAACAGTGTTATTTTGATACTTGCCATCATGGGTGAGCATTTTCTGATGTGTATCCGAGAAAATACCAGTACGCTCAGAAGTGACTGGTAGTCTGAGTACAGGGGGAGGAAAGAGAGAGATGAAGTTTGTGAATTTCATAAAGGAACTTTAAACAGTGGATCTCCATAAGCCAAATATTTGGTTCTCTATGGAAATCAGAGAGACATAAAAAAGATATAGTAGAGAGGTTGAGATTATGTTCATTTGGATAAGTTTTAACTTGTTTTTGTTTCTCATAATCAGGACTAACGAAGCCATCTCATGCAAAAAATAAATAAATAATTTTATACACTAGAATGTATTTTATCTCTCTTTTTTCTACGTTTCTGTGTATCAGCACTAAATACATAATTCATAAGGCTAAGGTTAATTATTAGAGACCTTCAATCAGCTTGCCCAGCAGCACTGGGTACCCAATAAGACTTCTAAATACAGTGTAAAATACCTGGCACTGTTTGTAATGTCAGACAAAAACCTTTAATGGTCAAAGAGAGACAGGATTTCTACAACAGCAGAACTATGTCTGCTGTGTTTCAGTACAAGTCATGTCTGAAAAAGTCCCACGGAAACACGATAATAAAAAAAAATATTGTTGCTGAGAATATTCACTGTGAAATTACATTGAGATGCAATAAATTATCAGGACTGTATTGTAGACCAATTTTAGAATTGCTAATCAAAGCCAATAATTTTTCTATTTATTGTGAGAATTGGTAATGGTTAGATCTAATGAAGACTGTTGATAGACACTCACTGTCCTAATTTCCTGCTTCATCAGAGCGTGTAACTGAAGTGAAGACTGACATCTTCGTCACCAGCTTTGGGCCTGTTTCAGACCATGATATGGTAAGTGATGGCCTATATTTCTAGAGCATTCATTTTCTCTTGTCTTTTTAATTTGAAGGATGGAGGATGTAAGCAATAACTTATTTACTACTCTTAAAGCTGTTTTTTTTTTTTAAGCCCTTGATTCCAAAATGCTGTCAGTGTTTATGTGCAATGATTCCTGTTAGCTGTGACTGCATTTAAGTGCCCTGAAATTAGCATCCTCGATGACTTTAATAATGTATTTTAACAGACCTTATATTTGCTACCTAATATATTATGAAATGCATTAAGGTTTGGATCAGTACTCTTCTGAGAATAATTGCTCAGGTCCTTGCTGGCACATCACTGATCCAATTTGCTGAGAAAGATCATAATCTTAAAATGCAATTAACACTTGTGCTTACAATGTGACATCCATACACTCTAACCTGTATTTTTATATTAAAAGCTACTGATCAATGGGAAGTGAGTTTCCTCGAACTTGGCTGCTGAAGGAGAAGAGAAGATTAATGAGAGAATTAGTGTCACTTCTTTATGGCATGAATATGAAAATCAAACTGCCAGATAACTGCAGGGGATTCAGAAGTTCAGAAAACTGAATGAAGATGTTGTGATCCCTGGTCTTAAGAGATAAAAAAAAAAAAAAGTGTAAAAATATGGATAAAGTACTTTAAATTAAACATATAAATGAGACCTTCACAAGTAGGTTGCAATTGACAGGGAAAGCCTGGTTTGCAATTACTAGTATCTGTTGGATCCTGTGTAAAGATGAATGCTGAAAACATCCCCCTCATTAATTTAAATGGGGGGAAAAAAAAAGAAAATTCAGTCTTGTAACTGCCTGCATTTAACTGGAGGCATTCACAGAAGAAAGAAAAAATAAGAAATGCGGAATAAATATCATAGGAAGTACAATTTCTCTCTTCAAAATTGTTATTTGTCTAATCAAAATGAGAATGTAGATGGGCCTTAAACACCAGAACTACAGAGCAAGTAACTCTTCTAAACTAGTTTATTTTCAGAAAAGAGCTTTATGCAAAGCCACCATTTTCCTGACTGCTTGGATGATGTCATTTATAAAACTACAATCAAAACTATATTTCCAACTTACACCATCATATTTACATGAGAAAGAAAAGTTTGGACTATTTCCAGCTTCTGCTAGGAAGTCCTGAAATCGAAGGGCAATCCAGGGAAACAGTCACACTGATGATTTGTCTCCTCAGTTCATGTATGGAGTACCCTAATACAACTACTAGATATTAGTCTAAATTATACATTAAAATGTGAGAATTTTTTTGGATTAAAGATTTCTACTGATATCTAAACTTTCTGCTCTGGTGATTGATTGAGCAATTTTTGCTTTCCCAGTTCTGTCTGGAAATAGATAACCAACCATGAAACTAAATGAAAACTTCAGACAGTCATGGGTCTAATACATACTTAATTTTTAGCGCTGAATTAAAATTGCAGCAGCTGTAGCTTGTGTGGTTGCTTGATTTTTTTAGAGACCTGTCTTTTTGGGAGGTAGATAGTTAAAATTTCCTGAAAATTAAACTCCTTTGAAGTATCAGACTGCACACAGATGCTTGGAGGAAGTGAGAATAAAAAGAGTACTAGATACATGCTGGTGAAAACACAAGGTAACGCTAGAGTTGCCTGACTAACCTACTGTCTCATCTGTTGAGTCAGATTTACTAGGAAACTCAATTAAGGAACAGCATTAATAAACAGGCACTGATGCTTTCCTACTCACAGACATAAATTTAGAGCAACTAGTGACCCTGCTATGTTATTTGGGAATAGTGTGCCTGGACTTCAGTGTGTACTTACAGTTGATAGTTTCAGATGATTTCATTATTGAGTAGAAGGTAAAGTTAATTTGATGTTCCTGGGAAAACTAATATTTGCATAGGATTTGGGTTTCCAGGATAAAATATTGAAGTCAAAAATAATCTTCTTTCAAAATTACAAATTAGTTGGAAAAAAATAAATTGACCTCAGTATAGCTGCATTATTATAGCATAAGCAGCCACTGCCAAAAAACATACAGCCAGGTGTTCACAGATTTTGAAAAGCAAGAGACCACAGAAAAGGATTTAGTGTAATACTCCTACTCACCTTGCATAAAAAGTAATGTGTGTACAGCCTACTTATGCTAACTCTTCTGCTTAAGGAAATGTGTGAAAATGAGAGAAAAACAGAGAGAAAGATCAAATGAAGAGCTTATCAGAATATAAATTCATGTTAATTCTGTGCACATTTAATGCAAAGCCTTCTGTGCACATTACAAGTTGGTTGCCGACATTATCTTTTGAGGGCTACCCCAAATTTGCTCCAGTGAGCAGAATGACAGTCAGTGTTGACTGGATTATGGGATCTGGTCACAGGAAGGCCTCACAGACATCTGTATTGGCATGCCAAGAGAACGATGCACTGCTGTCTGAACCTAGACTGATGGCTTGAGGCTGGGAATGAGCTATTCCAGCTGACGCCATATGTTATAAAACTACAGCCACAGTGAGACACCAGCATACCTAGACCATCTGTTTGCAGGAATCCAATGAGACAGTTATAGAGATAGTAGGTTGATATATCAGGCAGTACATGGTGTTCCTACCCACTCTCAAGACACTCTTTTAAGAACATAGACATAACCTGTTATTCTATAAAGAGAATGACTCCAACCTAAACCTGGGAATAAAGTTAAACAGGAGAAAAACACCTTTGGAAATAAAAACATCTAATCTTGGAAGAACCTCACAGATCTTGAGGCATGATCTCTCATATGGATTGAATTAATAAGCAGATAACTGCTTATTCTCACATAAGTGTCATTTGTTGAAAATTCATATATGTGTATATATTGTCTAGAATAAGAAGCATTTAAAATAATTTTGTTCATTATATAAAAACAAAGACAAAAATAAGCCAACAACACAGTTTTTCCAGTAAGAATTCATTCCCACTGCTTCTCTACTGTGTGCTCTTTGGGAAAGAATTTTTGCCTTTGTACCTTCCTGTATGTCACCTATTACAATACAGACCATGGTGTGGTCTACCATCTACACAAACAATTTCCAGGGAGAGAGAACAGATGAGTAAATTAGAGAATGTATAAAGTACTAAAGATTTCCTGCCTGAATCTCACATTTAGGACAGAGTACTGTAAATACTCAATACTACACAATTCATTGCCAAAGTGCAAATAGGAGTCTTCTTTCTTTACTTGCATGCTAAGAAGACTCTTCTCTTTGGAAAATTTATACTGAATTTTATCTTGCTCACCCACTTGCACATAAAACAGTGCTGTAGTACACGGTTTGTTCTGATGGCACTCTGTGGTGGAAGAAAGCTATAATCTGAGTAAGAGAATCTGATGACTTGATCTTAGAGATCAGCTGTCTGTCAGGATTCATTTGAGGAGAATTATTGTACATGTTAAAGCAGGTAGTGAAAACTAAGGGGGTAAGACAGCTCAGCCAAAATGGTTTATGGTGCAGCAGCCTGGGATAGAGAATGATGCAGTTTATGCCAGGCATGATCTGTCAGTTCCTTTTTAACTGAATCTTTTTCTGCTGTCAGATTCCTTTACCAAACCTCCCAGACTGTTAGTTCTTCCAACATCAGAATCCTATGCTCATATAAAGGGAAGACCCATACTTTCTTTTCTAAACCTGCACCACCTCCCACCTTTTGCAGTTGCAAGAGAAAATGAATGGCTTAAATGCACACTGAAGTGGTATTACCATCTGGGCATGTCTTTTACTCTTCCCAGGCGTGTAAGAAGAAGCCCTTGGAGCTAAGGAAATACAGTATTTTACTGCCTTTTATACCTCCTCTATTTTCTACTCTTCTAGACATTTGGGACAAGATCTTGCACAGGGTTCAACCTGAGGCTCTGATCCAGCAAGGTTTTGAAGGAAGATGTGGCTAAAAATGCTGTCACTGGAGCTGAACAAATCCAGCCTCCAGCAGCACACTGAGCATGTGATTAAGAAAGTGAAAATGCTATTATCTTTGCAATTAAATATGCATCAACATGATTCACAGGTCTCAGATGCAAAGTAGAAGAACAACAACAAAGATCATCCCTAGGAACTACATTTTATTGTCCATAATGAACTTATTTAGGTGTTTTGAGCCCTGAAAACAGGAAAAAATAAGCCACAAGCCTATCACCATCGATACTTGCTGATAGTTGCATAAGTAATAAACAGCTCACAGTTGCTTATGTTTTACAGTGCTGCATTTTTTCAATAAAAACCACAAGTCTAAGGGAGACTGCAAGAGAAAGGTTTTAAATGTTCATTCTGCAATGTTTCTCCTTACTAATATATTCCTTGGGGAAGCTCTTTTACTTGTAGCACTGTATGCCAGAGACATTTGCCTTCAGGATTTGCCATCAATCATTGGCAGGAGATCTCAGAAAAGGTTCCATTTCTCGGCCAAAAGATTATCATTCAGGGTAATTTGAACAGTGTTTGGATAGCTGCTTTTGACATTTATCACAAAATCATAATCAAGAATGATGGAAGGGACAGGATAATCCCATATAGCACTTCTACTTTGGGATGGGGGTATTTCCCCATGTAAACATTATAGTATACTACATCCGCAAGACTTTTCCATATTTTCTCCCACCCCAGTGTGAAACTATTCTGTGTTTTATTTAGAAAGCACCAACTTTCTAACTTCACCCTCTGCCTCTTAATTCCTAAAAAAAGTAAATTTGTATAAAGTCAGTCTTCAATTTCATAATGAGTGTTGGTTATTTTGATTCTCCCCGTATACACTGAACTCAGCCAATACATCTCTTCCCCAATGCCCCACACTATAACTCTTGGTCCAAAGCTGTCCTCAGCTTGTTCTCTCTCTAGTACAATTATTTGGACTATGAGCCATTTCATGTCCCATAAACCAGACTACATAATTTTAGTGAGCCATGAACTTTTCATAAGTTGACTGCATGTTCATGCTAAGGAGGCACCTAGAACATAAGACTCTGGTAAGATCCTGTCTCACCAGCCTTGTTTTATTCTAAGAGACAAATTCTTCCTGTGCAATGCACAATGGCTCAGTGTCTGCAGGTTCAAATTACAGTTCTATGGAAGGTGAAAGTAAAAGGAAAAAAGGGCAGATTATGTTGTTTTCTATATCTTATATCTTCAGTTCTTTCTAAGTTTTCATATGCCATTTTCCTAACATTTACTTTATTCAGTACAGTAATGTTGTTGTAGCTGCTAAATAACCAGCTTCAGATACACTGTAAGTAATTTAGAGAATAAATGTTCTGATAATTACTAATTTCATTAATAGTCTTGCTTTAAGGGAACAGTAAAATTATAATTTTCAAATTCCTGTGTTGCAACACATGGCAGTATTACCTTTTCTCTTCTGAATTGGTGTAGGAATACACTATAGATGTATTTTTCCGCCAAAGCTGGAAAGATGAGAGATTAAAATTCAAAGGACCTATGACTGTTCTCCGGTTAAACAATTTAATGGCCAGCAAAATTTGGACACCCGATACCTTTTTCCACAATGGAAAGAAGTCAGTGGCTCATAATATGACGATGCCAAATAAATTATTACGAATTACAGAGGATGGGACACTGCTGTACACAATGAGGTGAGCCCTCAAATATTTTATTTTTCATATAGTTTGACAATTTAAGTAGGTAAAGTTATTTTCCAAACAGGAAGCAGGTTCCTTTTTGAGGATTATTTGATTCTTGTTTAATAATTTTTTTCACAATAAGGTCATAGAATGATGGACAAAAAGGCATTTGCAAGTGTTTTGTTTTCCTTCCGCTGTGCTACCTTTACACATACTGCACATTTCTTAATACCTGATTTTGAGAAGGTGCCTAGAGAGTTAGGAAACAATCAGTTTGCAGAGGACCTTAATTTTGAGTTGCTTTCAAGGATTCCATCAGCAATAGAATTACAGAATAGTTAGGTTCAAAGGTACCTTAAACATCACCTATTTCCATGTCATGCTCTGGGACACTTTCCTCAAGACCAAGTTGTCCAAAGCCCCATCCGATGTCACCTTGAACACACTGTAATTTCTTGTTCTTTTTGGGAGTACAGAACCTGGGAATCTGAGAATCTAAAAATTTATTATTCCATTTGTAAAAAGAAGAACATTTCACTAAAGTATTTGAAATGTTGGGGTTTTTGTTTGTTTGTTTGTTTGTTTGCTTGTTTTTTGTTTTATTGGGGTTTTTTTTGTTTGTTTTTTGTTCTGGGACCATTCTTATTGTTAACATATTATTCTTTTTATGACAGTAATAACTTGAGCTAATCAGTTGTAAGCAGGGGTCGTTATCTCAAAACAGTGATGATGCACAGTGGTGGAAATGTTCTGAATTGAAAAGAACCATGAACTGAGCAATGAAAGAAATGACATGTTGTCTCTACATAGCTATATTTATGTGACACTTTTGTCTGAAAGTCAAGTTCAGTAAGTAGGCGAGCAGTGAGCTTTCTTTTAACAATTCTAAAAATATTTTTAAAAGCAGTACAAGTATTTGGAGAAAATAAAGTCTCCAGGCACTTGAGAGCTTACCAAATATGTTCGTTTATTCTGAAACATCTTTCAAGACTGCCAAGGCTAGGGTACAGTCTGGTTGACTGGTACTTACACAAGTCTAGGTCAGTTTTTCTTGTCTGGCAAAATGCTTGTTCAGGAATTAATTCCCAAGAACACTACCTTGGCACCACACTGTTCATGTCTCTTTTTTTGACCATAACAGTTTCTATTTCCTCATATTTGTAAGTGTCTTAATGCAATCTTTTGCCTGGTATTCAAGTATTGCGGTCCATTCCTTGCTGACTTGTCTGTGATACGTGATTGTTTCAGGAAATGTTTTTAGATTATTTAATTTCTCATACTGAGCAACATGTTTGCACCCATGCTAGTAGCAACAAAATGATTTCAACAAATGTTTCAACACCCCAAACTGGACAATTTAGTGATGACAGCATGGAAACAATTTTGGTTTCTGAGATTTTACTGCTCATACCTAATTAGAAGAATAAGCATGTTTCTGCTGTACAAGGAGACATGGTGAAGAGCAGTCAGATTCACTGCTGTGTTTACAAAGGTCTATCTGCATTCTGAGTCAGGCCATTCAGGTCCTGCTCTAGATGCTTATTAATCATATAACAGATGATAGACTATTTTATGTGTCTTAATAGAGTCTATTTACTATTTTTATGAAAGTAGAATAAATATGTCTTTTTGCTCATTGATCCGTTATAGATTGACTGTGAGAGCAGAATGTCCAATGCATTTAGAAGACTTTCCTATGGATGTGCATGCTTGCCCCTTGAAATTTGGAAGCTGTAAGTTTATTTTTAAATTGAGATTTCTCCATTTTGAGGCCACTCTATAGACATACTGTGCAACTGAATAAACATCAAGGTTTTAATTTTGGGTACTTTTAACTTTTAATGGTAGTCTCATTCTTACATATGTTTATATTTCATAAAATGAATAATTCATAATATAGTGAATAAGACATAGAAGTGCCTTAAACACGTTCCAGTGTCATGCCTGGACATTCACAAAGGAAAAAAATGGTATCACAAAGGAAAAAAATGGTATCACCCTTAACTTCTAGAAAAGTAGCTTGTTACGCACAAGATGTTGTAATCTTAGAGTTACTTTTTTTGGTTTTTTTGGTTTTTTTAAGTCACAAAGTCAGTTTTAAAGGTAAGTAATACAGACCATGAATAACTCAATTGGTATAGGTAAAAATAATTTTCCTACCATGATTTTGTATGTTTAGAACAACATTTAATCTAAGATTACAATACCATTCATATTTCAATCATGCAACATTTCTAGAAGTGGAATATGTCACAGAACTCCAAAGAGAGATTGCAACCTGCAACAGTTTTAACCTTACATTAGAGAATGCACTGAACAGAACATAATATAATTGAAATCAGATTAACAACTGACAGTAAGCACTTCAGATAACTGGAGAATTTCTCCCAAAAAAATTGAATTTAAGTAGCAGCCCATATGATGCTGATGCTTAAAAGTTTACTAAACTTGTTATTACCAGAAATTAAACAAGAGGTCTGCTCTGAAAGTAATGCCTCCTCTTTTACTTCCTTTGCCTGCAATGTCAGAGACAGGTGTTGATGAGATGGCAGCAGAGGCTGAACCTTCCTACAAACATTCCATTCCATTCCATTTTGTTGCCATGTGACAGATGGCAGCACAGGGGCAGTCTGACAAAATGGCATCTGACATGGAAGCATGTGTGAAACAAAGGTGCGTCAGTGAATTCTTCCATGCAGAATAAATGGCACCCACTGACATTCATTGACTCTTGAATGTTAATGGAGACCAAACAGTCGATGTGAGCACAGTGAGGCAGTGTTTCAGCAGTGGTGACAGTGTCAGTGGGTCACGTGCACAGGTGCAGATCTTTATGAGCAGAGCATTCAGGCCTTTGTTCATCACTGGCATAAATGGATAGCTAATGGTAGTGACTACATTGAAAAACGTCGTTTTGTAGCTGAGAATTTGCTCTATCAAATAGTGTTATTGTGGTCTTTGTAGTTTCCATGGAAATAAAAAGGAGGCATTACTTTTGAAATTACCTACTTTCAACCCCTGCTTAAACTCTTAAAGGAAAGGGGAAAAAAAATTGAAGATCTGCTTTATTTCACTCAGTTCAACACAAAGTAGGAAGATAAAATGTGTGGCAAATATAATATTGTACAAATTGTTTCCTCAGTGGCAATTTTTTTCTAGTAGAAATGGGTCATTTCACTGATAATGGGTACTTAGTGACTTGATCTATTTTAGAAGCCAACAAACAAAACACTCAATTCATTCTTCACATGGTCCCAGACAGTATGATGATTTACTTTAGACTGGCTACCTCTATGCTTACTATCAGAAAGCATTGGTGTTTTCTCTTTAAAGAGCTATGAGCCTCCTAGATACAATTTACAGAGCTTATACAAACTTGAAGTATAACTGACAGGAATAGCTTAGTACTTGAATGTCAACCTTTCTTACAGCAATTCCAAAAACCTTTTGAAATTTCCTGTAAATCAGAAAGGGGAAAAGAAGTCTTAGTCTGAATAATATAGAGTAGATAGCTGCAATGGATCTTTGATCAATAACAGCATATCTGTGCATTTGGGATCACCTGGGATCCCACTTATACTAGAAGTCGTCGCAGGACTGAATTTCTTTTGAAATGCATATTGAATGTATGCTGGATCTGGAAGACAGAAAGATGGATAAGCATGCATAAAACCTGCTGATAGAAAGCTAAACCATCAAGAGTTTTTGAACAAATGTGAACTAACAGACTGAGTTTTTATAGACTTGATGTCTGTCAGCATATCTGTGTATCATTTAGCCACAGTCTTAAACATCAGACACTAAAGTGCGAACAATAGTTTCCATTCTTTTCCTATACTCAGCTATTTTTGGCTCATGTGTCCCAGATTAGAGTATTCTTGGCTCAACGAGTACGTGGTTTTCCAGATTAGTAGGGATCTTGCCTTGATTAAATGATGAAGAGATAAAGAAATTATGCAAAGGATAGATAATACAGATGCAAATACAGTTCTCAAATCACACCACAAGGTGAAAACAAGACAGCAAAAATATGTGCATGTGTTTCTGAATATCATTGTATCTAAATTTGTTTCCATTTTATTCTGCGATACATTTTTATTATCATAATATATATTATTTTCCTTAAATTAACTAAAGGATACTCTAAACTAAAACTAAAGGATAATCAGTGAGTGTTATTTCTAATTGAAATATCACTTATTACCCTAAATTCATAGGTGATAATTTGTATTCCAGTCTCAGAGTGTGGGCCATTTTATTGCATAAATATTTGCAGTATTTTTTCCATTTTGAAGAGAAACTGGCTATTACCATGCCAGCTGTCCCAAACGGGACCTAACAAAGCAAGTGCTTCCAAATGCTGGGAAATGTTGTGAGACAAGATCAAAGCATTTTCAGGGAAACTCTGTATTCTCCTAATAGTTTTATAGATTATAATAGGAGCTTATAATCTGGGGTAGTGTGTTCTGCAGCATGCTTGTACTGCAGAGGAATCCACTATCCAAAATAGAACCTTAAATCTGGACCTCCCCCATCCGTCTCATTAGATTATATAGCATAATTACCAGATTATAAGGTATTTCTGTCTCAGTATTTGGTTATTCATAAATAGAAGTCTCTCTCACTGGACAAGTGGCTAGAACTTGGACAAGTTATGGAAACAGGTTTCATAGCTATACATATAAAAAGAGAAAAAAAATATTCTTACAAAGAGAATATATTTTATCTTAGACTTAATTGCTGCTTTTTCAGTGAGAGCCACCTCCCAGTACATTTGGGAGATTCCCTTCAGACAACTAAAGTAATTCATGAAATTAATCTTAATGGACTGAAGAATTTACTGAAAAAGACCTTTAATTGTAATGAAAGCCACTTTTTATGTGCAAATTGCAGTACTAGACTTAGTAACTCCCCAAGGTAGTGTTTGCCCAGCAGTATTTGTTTTGAATTAAATTGGATAAGAGTTTTTCCATGTCCTCCACTGTTACCCATCTCTTGTTGGAGCTGGATTCAGAAAAGCCTCATACTGAAGGAGTGGCACATCTCCCATGGACTCTGCCTGTACTGTAGAGGCCAATAAATGCTTGACCCAGCTCCAAGGCTAAAATGACTTGCCAAAATAGCAGCTTAAGCTAGAGGTTATTCCAATGTAAATTCAATGTGACAAATGCTAAAGAGGCTTCTGGAACAACAAAAAGCCATATGTTGGCATAACAAAATCAGAAAGGCAGCTGCTGTCCTCAACTCTTCCCACAAAAATTTGATTGTCCTCAATTCTTCCCACAAAAATCTGATTGTCAGTACAAAACAGAGGCAATTCTGCAAAGCAGTAATGAAAGGAGCAAAAGAATATGCTGCTACTTATGCAATAGGTCAACTGGATCATGAAGATAGGAGGGGGAGCACACCATCCGTGGTGAAAATGGTGAACTGAACATGGCTGGATGGCAGTCACTGGACAGGATAGGGCCCATTTCCAGCACTGGTGAGTGTGCTGCCTTCCCTCTGAGTTCTCATCCAGTGGTCCTCAGCAGTTCAAGAAATCAGCCCCCTCTCACAGACTTCATGTGTGCTCCAGAACAAGTAAAGTGTTTCTAAGCTGATACTATCCCCTTTTCTTTATTTGTCTAGAATAGCAAACTCTTGAAATTACTGTGGCCATTATTTTTAAGGTCAGAATTATAAATAAGTAGATTTGCATTTACAGTTGCTTCCAAAAGAACTATGTATTTGTTACAGTGCTTGGGGAATACAAAGTCTGAGGGCAAAAGCAACTTTGCACTTCAATAATGCAGGATCAAATGCCATGCAATTAATTTACCAGTACTCTCCATCTAAAACCACCTCTTCAATTACTGTTATCTCTTACACTGATAAGATAAAATTATTAACTCACAAATGAGGTCAAGTGAATCAGATTCCTCCTTTCCCTTTCCTGCTTACCAGCTCTGAAATGTACAGGGAAAATCTCATCTAGCAGGTAGGAGTCAGTCAGTCATTTAAATATACATTTATAGTGGCATTTTAGATGCCCTAAGATGTCCCATCTGGCTTCCAGCTGCCTCTGGTGGGAGCAAGCTTTACGTAGGTTCTAATCACACATTCAGTCCCATACATGTCTTGGATACTCCTAGGTGTCAAGAACGACACTCAATGCCTCTATGTAGACAGCTAACTCCCACCCCAACTGCTCAAAGCGAGAGCTGTCAGACCGCAGACTACACAAAATGACAGAACAGTATTGCAAGACTAAGATAAAAAATAGTATATAGTTTAACTCCTGAAAAAATATAAATAATATACTAACAATAGCACAAAACATCTGGATGGCATATGTAGGATGCTGCTAAATATCTATATAACATGCATGACGAATTGAGATTGGAGAGTCCAGAAATCCAGCCTCAGAAATATCTGCTATGCCTGTTGTAGAGCAAAGGGTGATGCCAAAGTAAAGAGCTCTGGTCAGGCTAATGAAGAGGTGAGTGAAACTACTCTGAGGTGGACTTAGCTTATTACAGTGGCTCAAGCAACACCACACCACCACAAACTGAAAATACTGGGGCTCATCTTTCTCTATAGTTGATAAAAATTAGAAAAAGAGCTTGAGTTCTTCAGTGCCCCTGAATACCTACCTCTCCTTAGTGATTATTTAGATTTTATACAGTTAGGAATGATGTAAGAAAGATAAAGTCCTTCATCCCACTGAGGATGAACCTTAAACTTGCCCGACAGCATCTATTTATCTGATCATCACAAGAACAGGCATCTGCAGTTATACTTGCCGTAGACAAAAAGTTGCAGTAAGCAACTGGGTTTTCTGTAGGTGGTGAAAGAGAAATTAACGTTCAATCTACTGCTCAAAACAATGGTCTGCTAAAGTCATATGGCAACAGAAGGTGAAAAGCTGAAATGTGCTGTATTTGTTTTAAATTAGATGCTTATACCAGGGCAGAGGTTGTGTATGAATGGACACGGGAACCAGCAAGGTCAGTGGTGGTGGCTGAAGATGGCTCCCGACTGAACCAATATGATCTGCTTGGACAAACTGTGGACTCTGGAATCGTTCAGTCCAGCACAGGTTTGTGAAAAAGGTTTGATGGGAAGGGTTGTGGTTTTGCTGTAATGGAAGATCTTTAACATCAATGCAGAATTTAGAGCAGAAGAAGAAATACTCAAAAAACAACAGGCGAAAGAGTGAGAGAGAGAAATTGCAATACATGGCTTTTAGGTTAGGGAAACACAACTCTGAAAAGATGACATATCCTAGGATTATTTCCTACTTTAATTGGTTGTTAAAATATTTCAACAGTTGCAAAGCTTCCTATAGTGGCAAATCTAATCAGAAAGAAAGAAACAAAGCAATGTACGCTATAAAGAATCTTTCCTCATATCTTTATCATGTTATCTGCTTACTATATATAAGAGCATCAGAATAGGAGTCCTCAAAAACCATGTTCTGGAGACAGTGAAATAAGATGCTGAAAGTAAGCACATACTTTCTCAAGAAGGTATTTAGAGGGTGAAAGAAAATTCACTGAATTAAGAAAAAACATTTGGAACAGCCAAACATAGGATTTGTGTATCTTAAGTTCTGCCACCAGCTTTAAATCTAAAACTACTAGAAGTGTGGTAGAAAAAAATAACCCATGTTTTCATATTATATATCTATACCTTTGAAGCTGGCTTTTTTTTTTTTTTTTTTTTTTGACTTTGCAATTTCCGTTTCAAAATATAATCCGTAGGATTTTACTTTAATTACTTTGGAAGGGCACAAAAATCTAAATACAGTCATAAGCTGAGCACTGAGGATGAACAAGACCTCAAAGTGTTGTCTGACTTGAATGTTCAACGGACCAGAGAGAAGAACTCCATTACAAGTGACTATGGCTTTGAGTGCCCATGCAGTTCTGCCAGAACTCAAGAAAAACACACCTGCCTAAACCAAACTTTCTAATGAGTCATTTGTAAAGTAAACAGACATTTAAGAGAAAATGAATCAATGTAAAGTGAACCCTAATTAATGTCTGATGTACTTGTTATTTAGCTGGTCAGTAGTTATTTGTAAGTCTACCTAAGATATAAAGTTTATCTTATACTAATAAGCATAATGTATTTCCAGTGCTCCAATTTCAAGTTACTGCTTGGAAGCTTCTGTTCAGTACAGGTAATTTTAAAAGTAAGTGGAATGGTAGAAATAAGGACTGCAGAACTGCTTCCATAGACTTGTTACTTCCATTTATGAGCAATGATTTGCCCATCAGGCAAATAAAAGGAGAGAGAACTTTTGGCCAGGCCACAGCCAGAAACATTCCTGTTGATGTCTGCGGAGCCAGTAATTCACACCACCTTCCCTTTCCTGAAAAGGCAGCTTAATTTGTGAGGGACTGTACGGATCCTGAGCCCTTTGCTCCTTCTGTTCTGAAGCTATTCGATCAGACCTCGGCACCTGCATGGCTGCCCTTTTGCATTCACCACCAATTCTCTGCCTACCAGGTGCATTACCGTGGCAGCAATACCGTTAGAAGAGACTCATGAGCTTGGGAATGTATATATACCAGACATACCAGATATAGTTCAGTACTGCGAGAAGCACCATGTAAATTCTGAAGACAGATAATAAATCTTTAAACAGAACTGAAGGCAAACCAAAAAAATGTAAAAACTCATGTTACATGTTCAAGAAAAAACTAAATTATATTTCTTTTGCCCATGATATTTCACAGGATTGAATTCTGTCTCATTTTTGTGCCTGACAGAACTCTTTACTACTCCCATCCTAAAAGCAGTATAATTAATACTTGCCTAAATAAAATGCTATTGTCTAGATGCAGAACAGGTTTATAAAGAATACAATGGATAAAAGCTAAAAATAAGCCCATAAATAGTCTTTTAGTACCAAATTTGCAACACTCTTTAGTTAATACCAACTAAGAAAAGTGGTGGAAGAAACTTGTTTGAAAACTCAGTTCTTAAAAGTACTTCTTGACATTTGTTTTCACCAAAATAGTGGGGATCAGAAGTAATGGTCAACTTTCTGCCCCACTAAGACAGCTGGGCAGCTATCTCAACACAATACTCCAGCACATCTTTATCTTCTCATCATCTCTTTTAAGACACCATGTATGTAATGAAAACTGTGAAATCCCTCCCTGTTTCCAGAGTTGTGGAAGTTGACTCATGTGACAAAAAGACAAAAGGAGCTAAAGCCAATCTTCACTAAGAGTTCTCAGCACCTCTATTAGGCGAGAAAACAATGCTCTCACACAGCTGATTCTATGGTTCATTAAGGGAAAATTCAAACACTTCAGCAATTTTAAGATATTGATAGTTGTCTGGAATTCTAGACACATATTTTCCATGAATTTGGGCAGAACCTTAGGTAGGTATTATCGAAACTATAAATGATTTGATGAAAGTGCTATTTTGTTTTGTTTTGTTTTCCCCTTGATAGTGGTCCATCTGCTATCCTTGCTCCTGGATCTAGAACAAAATCCCGAATTTTTAATGAAAAGAGATCTGCAATTTCTACTATTAAAAAAAAAAAAAAAAAAAAAAAAACAACTTTTTTTTTCAGTCTAGTTATTCACTCATGCCACCAGTGGAAGAATCTGTTCTGTTTCCTTACACGTACAAGTTCTACAAGGTTAAATATATCATTCAGTAAGCAAAATAATACTGTTGCTGCCATTTTGCTTAAGCAGGGAGCCAGTCATTTTTAAGTTGCGTGTGCAGTTTCTGTCTCTCTTCAACTATCAGTCCTATTCAGATGGACTTTAAAACTGTATTATTTGTAAGTGCTTTAACAGATGCATAAAGGGCTTGTGAAATTTACACAGAATTATTTTGCCACCTTGAAAACATTGTTTTGCATAGAGAATCAGCAGGGTTTGTACTCACTAAATGGTATATTCTTTTCCTATTGTTCTAAAAAACCTGCTGAGAGAATACTTCTTAAGAGGAGTTATTTTCTCTTGGGTTACACAACATAAGAAAAGAAATATTTTGCTTTAAACTAATGTCAAGGAAAGCCTCATTTCTACCCACAGTGATAGGATAAGTATTATTATAGTAAACTCATTTCCCTCTTCAAAACTCATGTCTGCATGTCATTAAAATTAATGTGATGCACATTAAGTTTAGGTGCCCACCTGATTAACTGGGTTTATTAAAAATAGTTTAAAGAACATAAAGTAATAGGTCTGATCTGACTTTACTGAATATCAGTCATTTCATTATAAGGACACAGGTTAATTTACAATATCTGAACATTGACTCTTAATTGTGAAACATCGTAGAATTAAGGGCTGCTTAAATACTGCAGCAAAAGTGCTGAGCAGAGACACTGAGCTCCTCCAGAGCACTGGAAAGACTGAAATGTGGACATGGTTCAAAACGTTAGGTTAATGTAAATGCAGGAGTTGTGTGGGCACTTTTAACGGTTTCATATTGTATAATATTTGTAAATTAAATGTCCTGTAGTTATTTAAATAAGTCTCATTAAAAGATCTACAATATTTTAATGAACGATTCAAGTCCATTTGTATTTTGAGGACCTAAAGAAACGTCTTTGATTTTTAACTGAATTGTAGGCATTACTCTAGCCCCATGCTTTGCTTGATGCGCTTCTCGTGGCATTATCTGCCTTTTAACTCAGACCTGTTGTAGCACTGAACTGATGGGAGTAATCCTGGACTTTTTAATTGCCTTCATGCTTTGAATCCCGTTCTCATTTCTAGAGGTTAAAAATACTTTCATAATTTAAGCAGCTAAATAAAGTTTCAGAGCAGAGCAATGTGTTCACTCTGCATTCTTAGCTTGCCTTCTATGGTTGCTGAATTAATTCTGGCATACCACTGTAAGCATTCTATATGAGACTGCATTAAAATAGCTATAGCAGATAAAATTAAATTACTGTTTTTTTTCTGGCTAGTATTGGTATTCTTCCTAAGATTACCAAAGATCACTGTTGTGGGTTGTTTTGGTGAAAATTAAAGAACAGTGGGTAAAAATCACATCAGCAACCATCATGTTGCTCTGGAAGTTCTATTTTTTTGATAGAATTTTTTCCTTGTATAGCCTTTGCTTTACCTTTGATTTTTAATTGATTTTCTTTTGCCCATTTGCTACTGACTTCTATTTTATATTGGAACAGATCAGGAGTATTGTCACATCCTATCTATAAGATTTCCTTGGGGTTATACATTGAGCAATTGCTGAAATGAATGTTCTTCTAGACTTTCTTTTAAAGAAAAGTGCATTTAACATGCTCAGTGTATAAGCAGTCAATGTCTAGACATAGTTTTTCAATCCAATTTAAGCTATTACTGTTCAGGAGCAACAGTCTCTTTCCAGATGCCTGTATTTTAAAAGAGAATAATGGTGATTTCACGTCATCTCTAATCTAGACAGAGGTTTTCATCCAGTTACATTTCCACCTGTTTCATTCCTAAGATAACATCCATTGTATAGAGAATCAATCTACACTGAACAAAATGTCATAGCTATAGGTTTTCCAATCTTTTGAGAATATACTGTTCTTCAAAATATGTTTTCAATGATGTTGTAAATAATAGTTCGAAAATAAGGCATTATTTGCTACTGCCTGGAAAGAAAGAATTATAGAGTTATATAAATGCTAACAATGCCTTTTGTATGTAACCAGAATACACAAATCATATGTTTTTCTAGCACCTAAAATACTAACGGTAATGAAAATTTTCTATACTATTCTTGCATTGGCCATTTACGGGCAAGAGAATATTAATTTAGTAAGGTACTGAATTTAGTAGGGTAGGGATGCTTAATATTCAGAGTAGATAAAACCCATACATTGATAGTAGAAACATAACCAAATGAAAAATTACAATCTAAGCTTGAAACATTTCTGACTTGCTGTCATCACTTGGTCTTTGGATAATGTTTCCACGTGCATATTACAGCAGTTTTCCAGCTTCTAATGGAATGAAATCTTTCACAAGAGGCCTAAACAGCCTCCAATTAATGCAGACGTTCATTCACTACTCAGTGGAGATGAAAAGATGCAAATTTAATTAGTGTTTCCCAGAACTGCCTAATTTTGTTATTATTAGTGGAAATTCAGAATTTGCTTTATTAAATGTTTTCTTCGGAACTGACCCAATATAATTTGAGATTTTTTTTTTCTTAATCAGAGTTGTACATATAATGAAAAATGACTTCATTTAAACTCTCCTGATTTTTGTATTTATAAAAGCTTTACTTTAAAAAAACTTTACAAAAAAGTTTGTTTGTCTGTTTTTCATTTTTATTTATTTTTAGGGGAATATGTTGTTATGACTACACATTTTCACTTGAAGAGAAAGATTGGTTACTTCGTCATTCAAACCTATCTGCCATGCATCATGACAGTGATACTGTCACAGGTGTCCTTCTGGCTCAACAGAGAATCTGTTCCAGCAAGAACTGTATTTGGTAAGAAAGACTTATAAATTCCTTGGCAATGACATGCCAAGTAAATGTAAGAATTTTTAGGGTAAAACTGTTATGCGCAGAGTGATATTGAAGAAGATCATGTCTACTGCACTATGTACAGCCTCAAGAGATAATGTTTCATTGTGAAGATGCACAGAAACCTATACAAGTTCCAAACCTTTTAAATTCAGAGTAAAATTGGACCTGAAAATATCTTGAACAATCTATTCCAGTTCTACTTTTCCAAAACAGTATGTATATGAATGAAACATTTTTGATGATGACATGTGACATCCATGACGGGGACTGTCAGAAAGTTTTAATTAATGGTATTGGTCACTTGACATCCTTGACACCCTCAGCCTCTTTGAACATTTTTAGCTTAAAAATCCCCTTAGTAGGATGCTACTAAAGGGCTCCTTTTGAAATCAGTGATGATTTATTGTGCTTACAGCAGTGAATAGATGAACTCAATGAACTTAGTAACAAGGGAATCTGAAGGACTCTTAAGTTTATACAGTTGGTCCCTAGTGCTTTAACCACTGCTGGCAAACACTTATTTTAAAATTAGAAACAAACAACTAGCATAATCTCTGACGATAAGAATCCAAGGCAAGTACTTTTTTAAAAAAAGAAGAAAAAAAAGAAATGGAAATAACGTATCTTTAACTAAGGAAAACAGAACCTGATACTTCTGTGATGTGACTTAGTCTTTTTTGTGATGTGTGGATGGGACACCTGAGCACATTTGGCAGGAGGATGCAGAGGAGCACAAAGCCAAGCTGGCTGTCACACTCACTTCCTGCCTTAGGGCAGAAGGATGCCATGGGCCCTCCTGCTCTGCATGAGGTAATTTACCAAGTGATACAGCTTTAGAGAGTTACAAGGCCTGGTGTTGAGAAACATGCAGACATTGAAACTCTTGTTGATCAAAAGCTGTTTTTATTGACCTTTCTCAGGCACACTGCATAGATAGATGTACTTTCGCTTCCCAAAGACTCTGGAAATAATTCACAACTTGCATAACCTTAGACCTCATGAAGCAAGTAAAGACGTTTTGTAGATATATGGATGTGCATTTACAGAAGAATGGTTTAAAGCACAAGATAATTACATTTTATTTACATAATGTGATTTAGATTAATGTCTAAAATTACTTCAGAAGTTTTATCACCAACTGCACTGAGAATTGATCTGGGACTTTTACGAGTCTGTGTACTCAAAACTACTGAAGTTGTATCTATTTTATCTCTCCTTGCACATGCCATTTAAAAAGAAATGTCAGGTCAGCATTTTGCAGTGCCATACTTCATTGTCCCTAGATAGAGGACAACGTTTCCTAGTCTCACAATGAATAATACATAATACTGCATGATCTCTAGCTGCTATCTTGAGAGGCTCAAGAACCCATGTATTTTTGCAAGTTCTCCTTTTAGAAGACAGTTATTTAGTAAACAGTGTTGTATTTACTCCATCATTAGGTATCAAGATAGGTGATTTTTCCTCTTCCTAATCGCAGTAAAAAAACATCTCAGGATATCTCGCATGAACAAATGTATACAAAAGCACATCTTACATCTTTTAGCCCACTTACTATCACAGAAAATATAAATTATAAATCCTGCTTTGCACAAGAGAAATACAAGCTTGCTAATAATGAGTCAAATATGAGATTAGGTTTTCTCTCAGGGATGCGAAATTGCTTTTTCACTAGGCACTAAAATTTCAAGCTCTTTACACTAGTATGTAAATATAGTGTTCATTATTTGGCCTATTTTAGACCACTGCACATTTTCACTAACGCTCAGTGCAGCAAAGATGAACTTGCAAAACATTCAATACAAGATACTGCAGTTGTCAAGGTAACTTGTGGACGTATGATTTGATGTAAATGTCCAGCTTATGCTTGCAGATTTTGCAAGGTGAGTTCGGTACAGCCCTACCACCGCCAGTGAAAGCTCCATGGGGAGCAGAAGTATCATCAGCTATGGAGCTCTGACATCACAGATGCAGATAACATTATTATTGTTCTGAAATAAATTCTCTGCTATTTTTGGGGCATCAGGGAACATCTGCAATAATATGAATTTAAATAAATGTAATGCTACATAAAGCTTAGTGAGTTTATCTGTGAAGGAACATATACTTCATAAACAATTTTAGCAATAACAATAACCAGGCTAAGTAACACAAAACCAATAAGCTTTTAAGTTTTATGTTTAAATATATTAAAACTACCACAGGAAATACATGTGTGAGTCGATATATTTTTAGGGCAATTTACACAGTTTGGATAAGGAAGAGCAATGACGATTCCTTATGCTCCATGAAGGTTTAAATATTATCCAGTCCAAAACTTAAAAAATTATTTACATCCCCATTTAAAAATTACTATTGTACTAAAACAACGTGAAAGAAAAGTATAAAACAGATGTTTCAAAGATCTCACAACATCTACAGAGCTTGAAACTTGATATCCTCAGATAGCAACTGAATTTAAGTGGAGAGGTCCATGAGAATGATGGGTGCAGATGAAGGTTTTTTATCTATTACAGTAGTTGAGAATTGAAGTGCAAAATAAAACTGCTGATACGAAGACAAAATCTGTTCTGCTTTGCAGGAGTGACAACTGTCCTAACAATGACCACGCTGAGTATCAGTGCGAGGAATTCACTCCCTAAGGTGGCTTATGCCACTGCCATGGATTGGTTTATAGCCGTGTGCTATGCCTTTGTGTTTTCTGCACTCATCGAATTTGCAACAGTGAATTACTTCACAAAGAGAGGTTACGCATGGGATGGCAAAAGTGTTGTTCCTGAAAAGGTAACGCCACTTAATATCTACTCCAACAGTTCACATTATGTCACACACTATCTCCATATATTTTTTAATAGGTGTTTTTTTTTTTTTTGTTTGATTGTTTGTTTTTTGAGGGAAGGCAGTTCATTCTGTAGTGCTGGAGCAGATAAAGTCTCCATGCCACAGTATATATGTAAAGGAAAATCTTGTGGCTGCTGTATTTGAGCTTCCAGAGTACATTGCTCCTCAACTTAAAGAGGATTGCCAAGTGATAATGATGAAATCAATCAATGCAGGACTTTTTCTCACCTTTGCCTACTATCATTTCCCTGTTTTTTAAAAATAGAAATATTGTTATTTTTAATTCTTAGCCTATATATGAAATTGGGTTGTTTCGGGAGTCAGTAACCGTGATCCACACTCCCTCAAGCAAAGGAGGACATCAAGTTGTCTCCTTGTAGGAATCAGACTGTCTGTAAATCACATATGCATCAATAAATTGTTGCGGATGTACAGGGAATGAAAGTTTCCTATTTCCTATGAAATATCATGTGAGCTCCTTCTGTGAGGAAGCTCATTTTGGTTATTTTTTAAGAGATCTTGAAAGAGACTTTTAACTTGCCTAATTGCTTAGTGCCTAATTGCTTATGAACGTTCACAGATTAGAGAATCAGCAGAATAAATATTTGGAGGAGCAGATGTTACTCATTGGTATGCGAATATATGTGTTTAATTCAGGAACGTACGGATAGGATATAGAAATACTCTTTGTTGTACTGTTTTTTCTATTTTCGTTGTGTAAGTCATTCAGTGATAAAATAGAAATAAACTCTGAACATGCACAGTGACAACCAACATAAAAGAATCGTGGAACAAAATGAAGCAATTAACTTACAGGTTTGAGTGGTGCCACTGCTGGCCAATATTTTCAGTTACTGACAATACCTCTATTGAAAGTCATTCTTTTCTGTTTTTCTGTGCTCGTATCCACATTATACCTATTTTTTAAAGAATGAGTTACTTTAATAGAAAATATTAGATATTAATTATTCCTATTTTAATGCTGTCTACCTACTAAGTAACTATAACCAGCCATTTATTTCAAAGAAAATTAAATTTTCATTAAAAGAAAGAAAGAAAGAAAGAAAGAAAGAAAGAAAGAAAGTAAGAAAGAAAGGAAGAAAGAAAGAAAGAAAGAAAGAAAACAAAGACAAACCAGAACAGTAAAAGCACAATATTCAAATACTGCAACATTGGAGGATGTACAATTTTAAATTCACTGGCAGGTAAGGGTCTTCATTCTTGCCTGTGTTATAAGGCAACAAAGGTATGCCACTACCCAGGAAAGCGTATTATCTGCAGACATTAAAGAAAAGCAAGCAAAGCAGGCTAACAGTGAACAAAGCATCACAGATTAATAAAGTTTAGGGCTCCTGTTAGCTGTTATGTTTTCATTAATTCAAATTTGACATAAAGTGTCAGGCCCCTGATTGGTGTCAGGCATTCCTGTGGATCAGATTCCTCATGAAATTTGTATCTGTAGGCTGAATGTCCCCTGACACTTCTGCAATCTGGTTCTTTGACCTGCTGGATTTAGAGCTGCTCATTAGTGCATCTTGCCGATGGGGAAACAGTACAGGCTTCATACCAAGCATGTCAGCAGTGCTCCCGCTCAGGAGGAGAGAAAGGACAGGCAACCAGAAAGCCTTCTGACTTTCTGAATATTTTTTTTTTTTCAGCTGTTTGTTCATCTTACTCAGCAGAGATATTCTAAGATGTTTTGAAGCTTTTCCTGAGCCTCAAGATACAGTGAATATTATTGTCTTAAAACAAAGAGCATCTGCACCACAGGCACTATCTGACTCCCCTTTCTTAGGAAGAAACAAATTTAACATTTCATCAATACACGTTTCCTTCCTGAATGGGGCTCTGTGTCATGCTTCAACACGCTTCTTCCCACATGCCCTCATGCTTTTGCAGGTTTCCTGCACGTTCTCAGGTGTCCTTCAGAAACCTTTCTGTTCACCTCCTTAATTTTTTATTTATAAACTAGAGCTCCCCTGCCTCCCCCAGTGCCTTGTCTATTAAACTATTTAGCTATTAAACTATAGTCAATCTATGACAAATAGCACTGTGACTATCTTAAAAAGTACTTCTACTCTGGGACAGCTGCATCTTGATAACAAATAGTTCTATTTGTTATTCTGCAAAATGATGCAATAAAACCACTCCTATATTTTTTGTCTTTCCATATATATTATCATTTTTTTCCTTCTAGAGGACAACATGGTCAACGTTCCCTTTTCTTCCCCCCTCAGCAAACACTATGATGGAATCCTAATGATTTTCCATGCTCTTGGCATTATCATTTCTTTTTGTTTCCTGATAAATAGCGTTTTTCTTTACACCTCCCGCTGAAAAACATTCAGTATAGTCTTGCTTTACAACATGAATGGCTACAAAAATCATGTGGCTACTTAAGACCCTCTCTTCAGAATGTCATTTCAGCCATTATGATCCAATTGCAACATTCAAGTAGGAACTGAAAATTTCTCTCTTAATTCAGATGCTTCTGGTGCGAATCCTTAGTATAAAAATGATTGGTTTGGCGTGTTTCCAAATAATCCACTCTTTTGTGTCATGGTTACATGATATTTTTATTGTATATTTTTTTTACGTAAGAACTGTGTTAGAATGAATCATAAAAACACTGTTTGTCTTAATATTGGAAAATTATATTAAGAAATTCAGTATCTTTTAAGGTTCTTATGCTGGTCAAGTGGCAGAGTTGATTAAGGGAGCATTGAATTATGAATGGTTCATCACTCCTCATTACCATTAAAGGTAATTTTGTCTAACAGTGAGCCTAGCTATCAGGGTAAGTCTTCACTATCCATCATATACTTCAGTTTAAGTAATACAAATAATCCACATGAGTGATTCTGTCTCTGTCTTCATCTAAGTATTTTGCATGAGTTGTGTACCCCAACATTACCGTCTTACTTACAGGTTATCACAACTTGTGGGTGGGATAAAGTTAACTTATAGCAAAATTTCATTGTGCTTTTTTAATATGTTACCTATTGAGAAGCCAATAAGAATAAAATATTTTCTTCTTTCTTTAGCCAAAGAAGGTGAAGGATCCTCTCATTAAGAAAAATAACACGTACACAGCTGCAGCTACAAGCTACACCCCTAATATTGCAAGGGACCCTGGGCTGGCAACCATTGCTAAAAGTGCAACGATAGAGCCCAAAGAAGTTAAGCCAGAAACAAAGCCTGCAGAACCCAAGAAAACTTTTAACAGCGTCAGCAAAATCGATCGACTATCAAGAATAGCTTTCCCATTGCTGTTTGGAATCTTTAATTTAGTCTATTGGGCTACCTATTTAAACCGGGAGCCTCAGTTAAAAGCCCCAACTCCACATCAATAACCTCATTTACTCATCTAGCTCTGTTTTGTCTTTTGCTCTGGGAATTGCTTCCAGTTTTCACATACAGTAATTCCCATTTGGAATATCATCAAGGTTTCTTCATTTAACCAGAAGTAAAATATATCTGTATATTTAAGAACCCTATATACAAGGGAGAGAACAATATAAGCTATATAACTTTGGAAAACTGATTCTTAAAAAGGGAAAGTTCTAGTAATGGGAAAACAAAAAAAAAAAGGCAAGCATTTGTAGATAGCTTAATACTGAATGTCCCCAAGATATATTGTATATGTACGTGAAAAAGATATTTTTATTCAATGGATTGTGAGGAGCAGGAAAATATTCTTAATGATGTCCATGTTGCACATACTATACTGCACCACTTTTTCAACCACTGTTTATAATCTTTTCAAGGATTTAAAGCTTTCCGTTTGCTGAATATGATAAGATAGGTTATTTTCCTATTCCTTTTTCCCTTCTATATTCCAAATGACCTAACTTAAAATATTAAATGATTGTTAAAGAAAAACAAACAACTCACTGTAGATACAGTTCATCACTGTATAGCACATAAGATCTAATGGTAAAAAATGCTTTAATCTGCTCTCTTACTGCAGTCTTGTTCTAAGCATTAAGTTGTTACTAGACTAGATTTCAAACCAGTTGCACAATCAAGTGCAGATCCCAAGTCCCTATATCTCCTGTGTAATCCAAACAAATCCCAGATGCTTTTACAGATAGCTTTTACTCATCACTGTTCTAGAGAGTTTAAAAAAACCAAAACAAAACAAATTTTGCAAGCTCTAGATATGTTGAATGTATTCTTTTATAAATTGATACATTAAAAAAAGCTTTAGAATGAAATTTATGGATAGCAGAAAGACAAAATATAGTATTTAAATAATATATGTAAATATGCAGCATGAGATTGTACATTTTTCTTATTTTCTTTTTCTTTTTTTTAAAAACTTTTTTAAAGTTTTGTTCTTAAAACATTGTTTAGATGTCACCTCTTAGCTCTTAATATGTTGTTAAACGCTCAATAAAACATATTTAGAGCCTAGATAAAAAAAATCATTGGCATTGGAAAGTCTAAAAAAAATACGTAGGAAGTGCTTGGAATTAATTCCATTTGTAAAGTGGTTAAGTGTACAGTAACTTGCAATCTGACAATGTCATCCAATGTTTACTATTAGATTAATGACTGGTCTGCTCAGGTCATGCATAAATACTAAAGTATGGGATTATATTTGGTAGGTAAAAATGGTGAAATATTTGCTAAGACAGAAGTTCATCTGTATATTACTGCTATATTTGCTGATACACAACTGTTACAATAAGTGATGTAATATATGTAGCATTAAATACAAAAAAGTCATACAGAAAAGAATGTACAGGAAAATAGATTTTATTGAGTAAACTTATAACATTTCATTTTTACTGTAGCAATATATTTGTAGGAATAATATGTAAGGGCTTTAAATACAAGATGTCCATTTTGCAGGTATTGTGCTCCCTTAAAAACAATTCTAGTCAGTATCACTATTGCTGATTATTAGAAGTAAAATTTCAGATAAATCTTTTTCAGAGACGGGAATAACGGTGAGTGTTGGCAAGGATCAATTAAAAAACCACAGCACACTGTACTGAGTCAATTTTGAAGAAATGCTACATAAGTCTCTAGAGAAACAGCTAATCAAAATTAAATTTCAGTCATATTTCAGGCAACGTTTTACAAACCTCAGCAAGTCAGAAAGTTGACGCTCTCTATCTACAAAAGGAAGTAGTTAATGTTTTATTTAGTTGTTTTTTCTTCTTTTTTTTTTTTTTAATAATGCTTCATTGTCTAACATCTAGTCCTGTCTTGATAAGTTATCTGATTGGAGCTTATTAAAGGGGGATGTTTTCATCTTCTGATATCATGTGTAGATATATGTATAGAAAAAAATAAACTATGGCTCTTTAACTTCAGTGTACTTGTTTATCTTGTTATTTTTGGCGTTTAACTAGTGTGTTCATTTAGGGCATTTTATCCTTCTAGTAATTCATAGCTACCTTTTGGTCTGCATTTTGCACATTAGATGTGAATATTACTTAACTAGTCTGCTTTTTGCTATGCAATGACTGCATTATATCACCTCTTAGTTTGTTAGTCTATGCCAATAGTATGATACTGTACAAACTTGATTGCAGAGTTTATCAAAGACAAGGTATTCTCTATGTAGCTTTTTTACAGTGCTTTGCTAAACCATGTAATAATAGTAAGTCTTCCTTGAAAATAATGATACACTCTTATAGAGGACAGTTTGTTTACTCCCGGGATAATTTTAAAAAGATGACATTGAATGTTTATTGCACCTCAGTGCAGTGATGTGGCAATAAAACCTAAATCTAATAGAGGTTGTTTATGGCAGAAGCATGTATTGCTTTACAGAGTTTAGCAAAAGCTCTTTATTTTATGTCAGACTGTAATTCTATTATAATAATAAAGCTAAAAATAATGAAAGTGAATGTTTTACTTTGGTTTTCTTTAGTTACTCTTCTTTTACAACACATCACTTTATGAACTGCTATTCATTGAAAAGTATTGTTTCATTTGGTAAAGAATGCAGTTTAATGGATGCAGTTTTCTGCTCAGTGTTTTCAACAACAGGAATGTTTCTGAAATCTGATTTGACATTAAAAAAATATTACTCAGTCTGTATAATGTGCATCCAGTGAAACAATAACTCAAATCAGATTAACAACTGGTGAGGTTTAGTACAATGATATAGCATAGGAAGAGAATGAAACACACTATGAAATACAGCTAAAATGGCAGATAAACCAGAGAGGAAGAGTAAAAACTGGGATTTTTTTTTTTTCTTTTTAAAATTAGACATGTCATAGAAATACAGATCTAAGAAAGACTGTTAAGATGGGACCTTAAATTGTATAAAATAACACTATTTCACTTATTTACTGAGTTGCGGGGATAGCATTTAAACAAATGTATGCATAGCTAGAAAATATTAATTCAAGCATTCTTTCTTTTCTATACAGAACACAAACAGAGGGAAAGCCATTCCAGTGTATTCAGTGCTCCGATTTTCTTGGGAAAGTTCCTGGCAGCAAGGCTCATGCTTTTAGGTAGAGGAAGAGAAACAACCAGTGGCAGATGTAGTTCTGAAGGATCCAATGCAGGAAAGGCTCTCATAAGTTCATGTGTGTACACAGTAATATTTAGAGTGACCTTAAGTAGCTGAGTTCCACAGAAAAAAAATCACCACAGTGGAAAGAAAGCTTGTATTAACACGGGCACAAATTCTGTTACCTTATTCTGCTTTCCTGTAATTTGAAGGAGAACAGTGCAGTCCAAATACTTGTTTCTTGCCTCCTACAGATAACTACACAGAGTTTGAATCCCTATGGAAACCCACACAGGATTTTCTGGAGAAGCAGGGAAATGGCAAGAGACACTGAACACCCACCTCCTATGTTCGTATGCTAGATACGGAGTATATATGAGAACTCTCACATCTCCTTTGGCACTGCTCTAATGTTCTTGGGCAGAATTTTACTAACGTAAAATGAGTGAAAATGACTAGATGCAACAGGAATTGACTGAGTGAAGAGCACGTAGCACCTTTCAGCTACACAGAGTGAAGAACAGCCCTATCAGAGGGGAGGTTCAGTCAGCATGCATCCTAAAATGGAGGTGCTCTGTGATACTACATCAGGAGGAGAAAATCCTCCAGTTCTTCTGGGATCATCACTTGATGGTACCGCAAGAATGTAGGGGAACAAGAACAGTTTGATCTGAAAACTGCTGGTGCCTCACACTTTCTGTAACTATTGGTAGAATACAAAATGCTCTGTTAGAAGTCAGCTCTTGGGGAAATGAAGATGATGGAGGATCCCTGTGTGTGGAGGCCAGTATTATCTAACCATATGCTGTAGAAAGACTTCTTTAAAAAGCATTCTGCTGCCTTGATCTTCCTGGGGCTGATCACAGTATCAGAATCACAAGTGGTAATTCAGACAACTACATTTAACAGCATGATGTTGCATCATGCTGAGTAAGACGGGCTGAGTGAATAAGTGCTTCACTTGGTGTAAAAACGTACAGCTGAAGCATCCTCCAGCACAGAGGTAACCCTTTGGTTCAGCAGTCCAAGCATTCAAAGTGTTAAACGCAGTCAGATTCCATGCAGTCTTAGTAGCAGAAATGGGTGTATTAGGTGCGTGTGCACTTATTCAAAAGTTTAACAAAGGCAAAGAAAATCTTTGACCTTTGACCTTTGGATGGGATCTTTTGGACTTACAGAAGATCTGAAAAACCTCCCCCCCCCTCTTTTTTTTTTTTAAATCTCCTTCTATTTTCCACCAATATGGTAAACAATAAGAGCTTATGAAACACCCTAATGGCCAGAAAATGGGGCACGCATGCTTCAGGGAGCAAATAATAAGAGAACTTCTTTCAGCCTGTGCTTTGTATCTGAATGTCCAAATAAATTAGTGTGACTGGGGAAAGTCTGACTTTTTCTTAGAGGCTTGAAAAATAGCAGTCACACTTATAAATATAAAAACCTCAAGACCTCCTCAGACTTGCTCTAGCAGATCCACAGGGAAAAACAAACAGAACAAAAACAACAAAAAGCTCCTCCTATGCATAAAAACAACACAGCTTAAATAAAATGTGTTTGCATTCTTAGCACATGAATTTTGCAAGTGAAGTGTATTGTCAGCTTGTCAAGCTGTTGCTGTCAGGTTACATCTGATTACAGATCACACCAAATACAATAAGAGAGGCAAAAGCTCCCAACGCCAAGTTTCTATAGGCTTGCTCACTCTTGCTACAGCTGCATCCAAACAGGCAGGATGACAACGTGGCTGCTGATGAAGTCATCTGATTACACAGCTCTAGGGCATCTGAAGATGCAGCAAGCAGATTCTACGCTTGCAGTACAGCTGTCTGTTACATGAATTTCACCCAAAGACTAGAGACATTTTCTCTCAAAAACCTGCAGACCAACTAGCAAATAGGAATGACTTTTTTCAGTGTGCTGTCAAGGGAAAAAGGACACATTTGGTCAACTCTGGTGAAAACAAGGGCATTTGACTACAAAGAGATCTGATGAATACCTTTCCAAGTGCTTTCATATACAAAGTATAGCTTAACCTCGAATTACACAAGCCCAAGACCTGAACAAGGACTAAGGTAATGAATTTGTCTGGAAAGAGTTTGCTAATGGCCGCTCAGAATGTACCACCTTTGGTATGTGACCATTTTAAAAGTATTCATCATCCACTGAGATGACTAGAGTGCCTCACAGAGGAAAACGAAAAACTTACCTGCTAGAGGATCCATGCAACTTAAACACAAACAACAACAGCTACTAAGAGCAAAATGCACAAAGCTCCTATTCCATTGCTTCAGCAGCAGTAGAACATCACTTTTAAATAAGCGATTTATAGGCTTCTAAGATTGCTCTCCATTACAGTAATACTCATTAATATAATAACTGTTCCCCAGGAATATGAAAAATTCCAATTAAAAAAAAATATATATATATATTTATGGTCAACCTAAAAGAAAACTCAGTGAAGCTACAACACAAATATATCCTTATTTTCCTCTTGAATTAAACTAGATTACAAAAACAGAAAAGTTCATTTAAAATGAATCTTGACTGAAATCAATGCACCTTCTGAATAAGAGAATAAGCTATCAGAGATCATGATATAAATAAATATCTGCCAATTGTTAGGACC